ATTTGTAAGGGCAATGAAAAAAAAAAAAAAGTTGGTGACTGTTCTCTCTCTTAAAACTATATATATATATATATATATATATATATTATCTTATTCTCATTTCAAGTTTTTTTTAAATAATAAATAAATAAAAATCTAAACTTTCATATATTTTGTTCGTGTTTAAATATTCTAATTCCTATCATTAAGTTTTCACCACTCATTAACAAGAACTTAAACTCAATATCTAATCTAGATATATTATTGGTAGATTTAAACATTTGTCCAAGTAAAAGATTGGATAAATAAATATGTGCTTATTTTAGATTTTTGTTAAATAAATTATTACAAAATTAGTGGAAATAAATAAAATAGTATTTGCTAATAATATTTAGGAATTAAAATAAAAATGCTAGAAAGTTTTAAAATAAAAAAAAATTAGAGATACTAATTAATAATAACAGTAATTTAGAATGACCAAACATCTTTCAAACTATTACCAAGTATTATAGTCGATCTGATTAAGATATATATTATTGATCAAAATGTTGAAGATTTGAAATTCACCCGTGTTTATTAAACTAAAAAAAAAAAAAAAAAATTGGAAGCTTTAACAGTTATTTATTTTAAAAGGTTTTTATGGACACCCGAATAGATATTAGATCTAATGGAAGACCAAACCTCCGACATGAAGTCTCCATCCCCTAAAACATTTATCTTCCTCTACAGCCAAATGTACCCCAAAATAGTTAAAAAGACCATCGTCCATAACTGTAGGAAGGTATTTCTTTTGATAGAGCATCGAAGATCGGAACGATGTTAGAAAATTGGTTCAAAGAGTATCATAGTAATTTCATGAACAATCCTTTTGACATGGAGTGCCAACCAACATCCTTATATGAAAATAAGAATCAGAAAGGAGGATTTCTTTTTCATCATCGCAGGAAGAAAAAAAAAAGAGAAGAAAACCCAATTTTCTTCATCCATAATATTTGGTAAATGTACAGAGTCAGAAAACATTTATTACCAATTAGAAAACAAAATAGAGAAGCAGTAACTTTAGCTTTATCATTGCCTTTACTGAACACAAATGACAGATCCAAGGGAAAGTGTCAGATGTACAAAGCATACTCTGCAGTTTTCTTTATTACTTTACAGTGAGAACGAAAATATTACTTACATCAGATCTGCTGCTGCTGGGTTCACTCTCAAAGTTGAAGAACCATTTAAAACGACAATGGTTTATTATCAATTTTCTTCTTCTAATTCAGAAATGATGCTGGCAAAAACCTTGTAGCCATTGCACATATCTTTGAGAAGACAATGCTCATTAGCGGCATAGTATGCATCCAATAAAGCTGCATAAATGAATTATAGCGTAAATCAGATCTTAGTAATCGGCAATTATGCTTTCCCATGTATATTTCTTCAAAAGAGTTTAAAATAAAATGTCTCTTAGACTTTACGGTTCGGACTTGAAAACTTTTTAATCATGCAGATGTATTAATGGAAATTTGTATATTGGGAGTTGTTTTTTTTTATATCAATTGAGTGTCCAGGCCAACTTGCACGCACCTCGACTAATCTCACGGGATAACTGTCTGACTCTACAACATTTGATGCAGGAAAACATAGGAATTACTAATTCCTAAGTTAAGTGGTCATCGTGGGTATATTGGGAGCTTTCAGAAACAAAATCAAGAGAAAATTAACTATGCCTTTTGTAACAAAACCTTGTCATGTCTTAAGAAATGAAAACATAGAATAAAAAAAACATACCAAAGCCTACAGCCTGAACATCACAGCCCTTATCCTACAAATAATAGAGACAAAAGATGAGGGAACCAAATGAGAACGATGAACACCACCAGAGGAACAGAGAAATGGGTATGTGAATTACCTGGAGGTCCCGCATAAGTGGCAAAGTCGCTGTACAAGAGTATGGTTTGACATACCCTATTACTTCCTCTGTTGCCTTATATAAAACTTGATAGCCACGAGAATCAAGATCACATGCAACTCCTGACACCACTTCACCAAAAGTTATACTAATTCTGCCAAAAAGAAATTAAAATCTTACATTTCGAAGACCAAAATGGTGGTCGTCATAGATGAATGGACATGCACGTAGGTCAAAAGCAATTTATTATTTATCTAAAATGTCTCTGCACCATTTTCTTTGTCATATTCAATAAATGTATTACTACTTTATTTTTCAATGAAAAAAATTGTTAGAATTTGATCGAATAGAACAGCATTCCTCTTGGGAGAGGAATACATGAAGTGAATTACTACGTTCATGTGCCATGGAAGTTGTGAAGTAATAGAGACAGAGAAAACACCTCCCTCTAAGGCCTTCATTTGGTAGAAAAAACTTTGAAACTGGTCCCCACGTATCAAGTTTCTCGATATTTGCATTAATGTAATCAACATAGCTTTGGATTTTTGTCATAACATCCTTCACACTGGAAGAAAATTATCAAAACATATTACAGACAAGATCTATAAAACGTTTAATATTTTCCAATATTGAGCGACAAAAGAAGAAGAAAAACTAAAAGCTTGTTTGAAAATTAAAACATTGTAATAAGTATGCAGTGTAGTTGCTAAGTAATGTTGCTTGACTAGGAAAGGGAGTACAATACTTACTCGTAGAAGGGAGTTAGCCTGCCAAATGAATCCAACATGAAATACATAAGAAAATTAAGGAAAACACTAATGAAAGATTTTATTATATGTCAATTTCATAATAAAATCATAAAAGGCTCAAACTTGTATGAACCTGACATCTCCTGAAATAGTATACTCCCCTGAAATTTGATTGACAAGAATCGGATCGGGAAAAATTAGTGGATCATCTAAGATGAAGAAATAATCATTATGAAGAAAACATCTTCCCCTACCTAAAATTAGTCAATGAAGGACTAGAATGTACCATTCCCTTCCCATGTAGATGTAGGTTTCATGGTTGATGGTGCTGTAAATCTATATACCATTTCCTCAGGATGAGGAGGAAAATCTTTGTAAAAGCGCAATTGCATCGCTTTGAGAGCTTTCCAAGATAGCTCCATAGCATTAATAGCCTGCATACAAGAGAGGTAGGCACTTATGTCATCTTGAAGAAAAACTAAATTTAATCAATTGCCATAAAGTTATATATACACATATTTAAGTATGCTAACAAAGGTTTTTATTTATTTATTTATTTTTATTTTTGGATAAGAAACCGAGCTTTCACTGAGAATAAATGAAAGAATATACAAGGGGCATTACTAGCCACCAAAAAGGGATCCACTTATAAGAATGGACCTCAATCCAAAAGAATGATACCGAACTGGTAATTACAAAAAGCCTTAGAAACCGACATCCATAGAGGTATTAAATCTAACTAGATAAATTTCCCCCAAAACCTCTCTACTCCCTTAGTAACTATACTATTCCTCTCGATCCAAATACCCCACAAAAATAGCAACCAAAAAAAAAACATGCCACAACTGGATCCTTCTATCCCAAAAAGGAGGCAAAGCAAAATCTCCTCCACCATTGCTCTACGCTCCCCCTGTTACAAGCCAAAGAAACCCCAAAACCTCCATGAACCGACTTCAAATAAAATAAGCGAACTGGCAGCTCCACAGGATAAGGTCGAGGTCCTCGTAAGAATTTTTGCAAATGACACACCATCAGGGACCCAACAAAAAGGAAAAACGTCTTTGAATACGGTCCATAATATTAACTTTCCCATGTAAAACTTACCAGACAAATAACTTAATCTTCTTCGAAATTTTTACATGCTAGAGTGAGACGAACAGCGAGGCATTAGGGGGAGGCAGTGAAACACTCAAAAGCTGAAAAAAGAATTACAAGTGAAACCCAGCGACAAATTAGGGGACCAAATATGAAGGTCCTTCCTCTCCTGAATCAAGCGAATCTCCCCTTAAAGACACAAGCAAATCAGCAACCTCCAACAATTCTCTATCCGTTAAACACACTCAGAGAAATAGAAGAGGAATTTCCAAAGACTCAAACATAGAGACCACTGAATGCAACCTCTTTTTAAAAAGGTGGTAAAGACGAGAAAACAAGAAACACAGGGGTTTATCACCCATCCAAAAATCCTCCCAAAAATAGGTTGTTGTACTATCCCCAATAGAGCAAGAAATAAGTCGAAAGAAAAAAAGTAAAGATAGAGAATATAGCCTTCCAGAGGCATTTACCAAAAAATTTAGGACCACTAGCTGATACCAAATTAAAAGGATGCGACTCATATTACTCATGATTATCCTACGCCACAAGGCATCAGGTTTATGAGAAAAACACCACAATCATTTAGCCAATGAGATCTTATTCCATAATCTCAAGTTCCCAATTCCCAACTGCCTTCCTCCAATAGTTTCAAAATGATGTCCCAATTAACCAAATGAGAGCCTCCCCCTCGTCTACCCCGCCTAGAAAATAATCCCTCATGATTTTTTCGAAGGTTTTAATAATGGACAACAAGACTTTAAATAGGAACATGAACTAAATTGGGTCCATCTTAACATAGACTGAATAACGGTGAGTCTCCCTCTAGAAAACAAAGCTTGTTTCCAAGAAGAAATATGCTTTTGAAGCTTTTCTACAATAGGAGACCAAAAAACAAAACTCTTCGAATTGTGGCCTAAAGGAAGCCCTAGGTAAGAGGACGAGAAATCTTGAACCTCACACCCTGCTAGGGAAGCATGAGAGGAAAGTTTGGAACGCTCGCAATTAATCCCTAGCAAAGATCTCTTAATCTTAAGACCCCAAATCACTTAAAAAAAACGAAAGCAAATAGTTCAGATTGATAAAGGAGTTTTCCTTCCCGGGACAAAATAAGAGAATACCAATAAGAGAATACCATCAACAAACTGAAGATGCAACAAACAAGTTTTCTCTCCCGATTAAGAATCCCTCCAAACATCCTTTTTCCCACACCCATTGGAACTAAATTGCTGAGCAAATCCACAATTAAAAATGAAAAGAAAGGGGGACAATGGGTCCCCTTGCTTCAAACACCCTGATGCCCAAATCTTACCCCTTAGTCTTCCGTTCACAAGGATATAACGGCTATCCAGGTAATCGAAGGTTAATACTTACCTCAACTAGCTCATTTCTACACTATTATCAATGGACAAGTTATCCAGGTCATCTCGCAAGGCACATTCAGCAAAGCTTCAATTCAGTAATTCTTACCATTTATATTAAAATGAATTTACTAGTCAAGTTTATCATGCAAACAGAGTTTACTGAGCTATACTCAGGGCATTAAATTTCCATCGACATGTCGATATTTCCATATGTCCATAGGTTCAATGTCGACATGAGGGGTGAATCGGTATTTCCATAGTACTGCATAAAAAACTTGGACACAAAAGTGAAAAATATCAACAAAATATAATTAATATGGACATTGTATCAATCCTAATAATTTGTAACTTATTTAAAAAGAGTTAAATGCTTATTTGTTAATTTAAATATTTGCTATGGATATTTTATTTTTAGAATTTTTCTAGCAATATCAATCACGACATTTTATCGATAATTTCCATCGATATCTATATTTAAAACTTTGGTTGTACCAACCTTAACTTTATAGGTGACAATGTTGAGGAAGGTATTTCACATTTAAGATTCCGGCACGTGTATAAAACTACAATCCTTCAAATCCAAAAGTTTCCATGTCATAGGTAGGAAGATCTATCAATTATTATTATTTTTTTAGCACAACATGTGGGGTGGGGGATCGAACTCACAACCTATTAGTTGGAGATATATGCCAATTGCCACTAAGCTATGTTTGCTTTGGCTAGAAATATCTATCAATTCAACGACCAAAATCTTTTGAATCACTAAATTTCCCCTTCAAAATGCAAGAAAAGACTCACGTTCAGTCAACAAAGTGCACGCACATTAGCATGAAAAACACAATATATATCAATTTACCTTGTGTGGCAAACCACTGTGGAAAAGTTTTCCAGTTGCTACAAGTGTCCAAGGTATCAGACCACCAGTACCAATACAAGGTTGTGAATCCACCGCATCAATCCAATATCTATGTAGAAAACCAAACATACAGAGCTTAACAATGCACTGGGAAGTTTCCAAAATTTGAAAATGGAAAAATAACTCAAGATTTAACCTTATACCATGTGAAAAAAAAAATAAAGATACCTTAGGAGGAATGGATTCAAACTCTGTGGTGGTCATCTATTTAGAATATTAAAAGCATAGGTAGACAACCAATGAAATTAGTTAATGTTTGCATCAGCTAGCTACGATGCTCATGAATATCATAAAATAGAAGAGAAAAAGAAAACGAAAAACTCATATCAAAAGATCT